ACCCTGGCATCTTCTGTGGTGGAACTGCAACTACCTCCTTTCATGACTTCATTGTTATCCTCCCTGGGGTCTACTTATGTGTATATGCCATAGGTAAACCGAAAAGACATGAATCATAGAATGGCTTGGGTTGGAAGGAACCATCTCATTCCAACCCCCATGCTGTGGGCAGGGACACCTTCTACTAGACCAGGCTGCTCAGAGCTCCATCCAACCTGGCCTTAAACTGCGAAGGATGGAGCAGCCACAGCTTCTCTGGGCAACCTGCTCCATTGCCTCACCACCCTCACAGTAAATAATTGTTTTTCTAGTATCCAATCTAAACTTGCCCTCCTTCAGCTTGAAGCCATTCTGCCTTTTCCTATCACTGCATGCTCTTCTAAGTAGTCTCTCTATTACTACATCAGCCAATTATTTCAGGACTTCAGGATGCATCTTATTGAGTCCCATCGGCTTCAGATTCCTCAGGTGGTCATAACTCTGATCCTTACTTAGAGTGGGAGGGACTTTGCTCCCCCAGTCCTGCTGTCCATTCGCTCAAGAGGTGTGGGAAGAGATGTTGCCATTGAAGACTGAGGCAAGAAAGTTGTTGAGTACCTCAGCCTTCTCCTCATCCATTGTTACCAGTTGTTGAAATAGTTGTTTAATAGCCACCTCTGTCTCAGTCCCAGTGCTGTAGCATGACTTGGTTAGTAGAAAGTTAGCTGAGTAAACATTTGTGGAATAAGTTTATCTGTGGATTCCTGTGCCTTGCATTAAATTCTCTGCTGCTTTGCAGTGCACTTCTCTTTTCACTTTGAGTGACATTGCTAAAGACTGCAGGCTGCCTGTTTTGGGCCTGACCTTACTGCAAAGCCTCCACAAGAATCTAGCCAGAGTTTTTCAAGTGCATCAAATGAATGTGCTGGCTCAGAGGTACAGGTGATGCCCTCATTTCTTTCTTTCTTTTTCTGGTACCCTGCAGCCCATCCTTCTAGAAGATATTTCAAGGTATAATTTTATTCTTCTATATATGCTCTAAAATGATTTCTAGCTATTTTCTACACTGTGTCAGATTTCAGTCTTTTTTTGGCCAAAAAGTTGTTTTTAAACTTCTCTTAAAAAAGAAAAAAAGATGAAGAGAAGAGAAAAAAGTCTTTAACAGCTCTAGTAACTAAGTAATAAAAACTGAATGTCACAGCAAAGTCAGATCATAACAATGTGACAGGATATATTGGCTCTTAAGGAGAAAATTACTGTCATTTTTTTATCTCATGAAGTTTAAAATAAGACATCTCACAACTGTAATAACACATGAGGGTTTGGTTTGGTTTTGCATGCTTCTTCAATTGTTTTCTTAATTTATTTCAGTGGCTGTAGGTGCTGATTTGGTACACTTCATAATTGAGTTTTTCTTCTTGCAAGCTACAAAAGTAACTAGAATGACTTCTGTCATTTCAGTGCCACAGAGGAATTTAGATATATATTGTATTGATATTCAGTGATTTTTATTTTCATCTGTTCATAGTTAATAAACTATTTTAATTTTCCGATCTTTGTATAAGAATTAATTGAAAATTTCTGTTGTTTTTTCAGCTCTTAGATAAACTTTTTCACTTTTTCTCTGTACAAATCGTATCTTGCAACAAACCTACTTATAAAATGGTGTACCCGATCATGGTGTTGGAACCAAAGTAGCTCTTATTTCATAGTGCTTATCTCAGGGTGGGATACTGGTCACATGTTATATGAAACTGAGGGACTGACCAGGCACATAATCTCACAGATTTTTTTTCAAAGGTGTAAAGACCATGGGTTAAGCTAAATGGACCACCATGGTCAAAATGAATTTTCAAGTCTTTAAATTTTGAGGGAAGATCTGGCAGAAATGTGCTGTCTGTACATTTTTATGCATGCTAGCCTATAGTATAAACTGTATCCTGCTGGTTTACTCTTGAAATCTGGAACTTTCTGTCAAAGATTCACAAATGAATTTTCAGTTTTTGTGGTTGCTGACAGCTAATTTCTCCTGCTGCCTTTGATGAACAGTGTGGCAAGCACAGATGGTGGATGGCAGGTTACATTGTGTTTGAGTGTAGTCTCTGCCCGGGGCAGGGTAGACCTCTGACAGCAGGCAAGAACATACATATGCTCTTTCATACATGCATATCCTTTTGGCTTTTACATGCGAAGTTTTGTTTCCATGCCTCTGAGTTGGTGGGGTATTTTTAACTTGGCTATGAGATTTGGGGTTTCCTGTCTAGATGGATAGATATTTAAAAGCAGTAAGACTGCTGTTAGGCCACAAAGTGGTTTTGTGCATCGTGCCCTGCTGATATTGGTGGAAGGCTGTTTTCCTCTTCAGCTTCAAAATTAAGCTTTGAAAGAACATTACAGTGCAGAGAATCAGAAGCACTATTGCTTGGTCTTGTGGTCTGAATTAGGCAATATCTTAATTCAGCATTTCTAATACAGTAAGAACAAGGATGAATAGCTGAATTGCTATCTAGCATGTTAATAGATTTTTAGCATTTGTAGGAATGAGCACTTTGAGTGGCTTTTGAGTATCTATTTTGGTTCTGAGTGAAAAAACTAGCTGGCTGTTGCTTTAGCACTAGCAATATAAGACTTAACGTTTGACCATTGTGAGTATTTGGGGAAATCACTGCTGTGGTGGATGTTTTGTTTCTGAAGCATGTTTTATCTCCAGCAAGGGAAGCTCATTTCTGTACCACTTGTCCTAGCCTGAGCTCATGACTTCCCTTCACTTGGCGAGGCTGCAGGGGAGGCTACATGTGCACTTAACATACTGGAGTGAACACGCTTTACTGGTCTCCACTCTCTGTTTCCTCACATTTGGGATTATATGGAGTGCTGGGTCTATACCATCCATTAAGGGAATGTGAAATAAGCTTTGCCTTTTTTAGTGTGAGTGGTATAGATGGCAATAAAAATATTGGTATATATTGGCACTTTCAGCTTGCAAAATTCTGTTGTCTGATATGTGTTAGTGTAAGCATTTGGAATAAAACACTTTCTGTCCTTCGGGGTTATTATGGTCTAGCTAACAGTGTTTTCTGGTCCGAGCTATCCACTGATGTATAGTAGGGCTGTAAGTGTCTAGATTTTTTTTTTCCCAAGTCCTATATTTTAAATATTCTGCTCATAAGTGGCCTAACCTCAGATTTTTTCCTACAGCTTATTAAGTTTTAATAAGCCTGTTTGTCATCACACTTAACTCCTCCTGTTAATATACTATTTTTCTTAACCGTAAGAATAATCTTTTGTATTTTACTGTTGTAAATAATTGAAACTTACTATCTTTTCCAGTAATAGCTGGTTTTCGAGGAACAGTCCCACATGGCCTATCACTGGAGATTGGAGACACCGTTCAAATATTGGAGAAATGTGATGGTGAGTTCAGACTTGAATTCCAGTGATAATGAAGTTTCGTATACTGGTGGTTTGAACCCCATTATTATTAATTTATGTTATTAAATTGGCACATTTTTGAAGTCCATAATATAACACATTCTGGCCTCTTAATTATTTTTTCACCATTCCAGTGAACTCTAATCCCTGCAATAATTATTTACGGTTCATTCATTTTTATTTAATCTCTCTGTTTAGTAAACATTCATAGAGGATATGATTTCTAACATCAAGTTCTCATTGTGATTCTTCTGCTTCCTTGGTATTTCTGAGGGTAACCTGGCTGCTGTCAAGACACTTCTAAATGAATTCAGATATTAAAGCAGTGCAAACATTCTCTTCTGCCTCTATTCTGAGGTAGAGGATATAAGTATAGTTTTAGTGAATGCTGCTAGTGTAAGAGAAATAAAGTTGCAGTTTTTTCAGGATCTTCCTCTTTAGTGCCTAAGGCTTCTCTGTCAATGTTATTTTTTTTATCATTTGGGATTATATAGGTATGTTTTTTGTTTCATATCAGGATTATATATGGCTAACCATATAAGAAATTTTCTTTTTGAAGGCATAGGATCTATTCCTTTGAATCAAGTATATTATGAATTTTGCATAGTAATGTGGTTGATAGATTTAGAACATGAAGTCCAAAATTGATTTTTTTATAGAAATGATTTTTTTACAAACTATTGTTTACAGTTAAAATGAAGCAATTTTTTTTGGACTGGTGTGGTGCCTAGTGCAGAATATACCTGGGTTACATTGTTAGAAACATTTTGGGATATAGGGTTAAAGAATAATTCTTGAAATAGTGTGGATTAAGTCATCTGAATATGAGCTGCTTTAAATAAAATACCTTTCACTGTATGTAAAGTCTCTTAAATCAGTGCAGTCTGACAGCACTGTGAAATTGTTATATCTGTCCAAAAGGGAAAAATGAAATCTGTTTTACATATGGAAATGATTTGCATACTTTAAAAAGCAAAATGTTCTTTCTTCACAGGGTGGTACAGAGGATTTGCCTTAAAAAATCCCAATGTTAAGGTAAAGGTCAATTATAGTTTTGCGTTCTTTGGCAAAAATGTATATTCCCTTTTAAAAAATTTATATTCTGCATGCAAGTATATTATATATACTCTTATAAAATAACCCAAACAACTAGAGCAAAGTGTGAAGTATATTGTTGATATTGCTTTAATTAGATTTGGGCATGGATTACCCTTCTGTGTATTAGGAGATGTACTTTACAAATCCAAGGCTCTGGTGAATTTTCTTTTCCTTTCTGATTTTTAGAATTTCAACTCAGAGGAAGCTAAGAATGCAAATTGTAAATACTGTTGGAAAAGTTGGTTAAACTGTGCCTATTTTTCTCGATGCTATGAATTAATTTAGAGCAGTGAGTGAAGACAGCTAGTTTGTATAAGCCACATGCAGAGTACCAATTGAATAAAAGATATCTTGTCATGTAAAATACATGGATCATTTTATTTTTCTTTGATGTGTAGTCTTTGATTTCCATAGTAGCATATCTCATAGTACTCTAAACCAGACTTCACTAATTTTTTTTCTGCATTCAGACATGAAATGTTATGAAATTCATATCTCAGCATCTGTTCATGTTGACTATGTTTAAGCTTTACCCGTCTTTCTATTTTCTTAACCTTGCCTGTTGTCTTGTCACTCTAAAGTGTTTGTTTTCCATGGGAAAGAAGTATCATAAATCATGTTGAGCCTTTAACCTACATTGTAGGCCTTGACCATCTTCTCTGTTTCCAAGACTCTTTAGCTGCAAAATGACGTGCATATATGTTAATTTCAAAAGTTTCTAGGGCTCAGATCAAGTCATTTGCCTTGGTGGCAAGGCCTGTGGCCTCTGCTCACATAAATTTCCTTTGCTTTATATGAAAGATCAATCTGAACAATAAATTTAGCCCCAGTCTAACCTGATGTTTACTGCTTTGATCTCATTGATGTATATTACAAGTTGATTTATAAGACAGAAAGAGTTGTGGTTTGTTATTGCATCTTATGTGTCTTTTGTTGCAATTCTCACCACATGCTTGCTGTCAGTCTTGCTTTGTAATCTGTCAAATATGTGATAGAAGTTATGAATAGGTTTTCTAAACATGACTTGATGTGTGAAGAGATGAGATATATATTCTCTGCTTTCCCAGTGTGAATGCAAATAGTTCCCGGAATTGGATTTTTGAAGGTGGTCTTTCTGAAAGTAAAATAATAAGAGTACCTTGTAACTTGTTATTGGTATTACTCTGTCAAGATTCTTCCTTTGTTATTCTGCCAGCTTTGACACTTGAAGAAATTATTTGTGGCAGCTGGTCTGCAATAAATGTGCATGTGCAGCCTTCCTGTTTTCTGGCACACTGTTACACCTGCAAGGCTGTATGTCTTACTGACCTTGGGAGATGCTCTCCTGGACCACTTTACATTACAGAGTAGAAACATTCACAGGGGCAGTTGCCTTTATACAGTAGATGTGTTTTCACTGAAGGTCTAATGCCTGTGTTAAAAGAAAATGGGGCACCATCATTACAGACAAATCTGTATGCACCTGCACTTACTATGAAGAGAATATATGTGTATTTTCCCTTACTGCATGAGCTGTAGCAAATTCTGTTCCCAGCCAGAAGCTTGAAGCTGACTTGCCTCATTTTGCTTGTTCTGCTTTATGAAGGTTAGTGTGCTGTAAGAGCAGTTCATACTGCTGCAGCAACACTATTCAAAAGAACAGTGGACAGCCCTTAAACAACTAGGAAAAATCACTCCTGGTGGGACACTGAGGCTCTTTGATGGCATCTACCTCAGCTTTTCTGTCTACTGCAGGGCATAGCAGCCACCAAATAAAACTTGATTTTAACTTCCTTTATTAAACTAACTTTGTTTTTAGTGAACCTTGTTAACTTCATTTTGCTTTATTTTGAAAATACCTGTCTGTTCCAATCTTTAAGATGCTATTGATAAGGAGTTATTCCCCTGCAGCTGTTCTGTTTCTTGTCAAGGTGGAATAATGAATAAAACCATTTAGCATAAGGGAGCTCTCAAGCAATCTTCTACATGTTCTGCATGTGTTTATCATCTTATTTTCTGAAGCTTTGAGGGTTTAAAACTCTGCTGAATATAGCATTTCAGTTTCCATTAGAGCTATGCGGAGTATTTCTTGTATTCTTTCCTTGTGTGTGTTTTTTGGCAATTGTTTGGAAGACTTTGCAGCATGTATTTCATATTAAATGGTACTAAATGGTACTCCAAACTCATTTAAGAGGACTTTTTTCCCCCTGATCTGTTTTATTTTTCAGGGCATATTTCCATCCAACTACATTCACTTGAAGAATGCATGTGTTAAGAACAAAGGGTACGTGACATGTTCTGGTTTCAAATATTTAAACATGATCAGTTACTTCTACCAAAGGTTATTGCTTATAAAGTGTAGTGAAGATTTAGTGAATAGAGATGTTTTTCCCTTCTTTCTTCAGGTGATGAGGAGGCAATATTTATTTTTGACCACAACTGAGATAATAAAACCCAGAGTAATTGGTTAAAATTATTTTTTAAATTTTGTTTTGGAATTCAAATGCCCTTACTTAAAAGAAATACTGATATTTAATTTTTTTATTTTTAACATATAATACCTTCATCACTGTTAAAAAAATTGTGTAAGTGATCTTAGTAGTTTTTTTCTAAAGTTTTACTTAATTTCTGTATGTTCACATTGTGTCATTTATTTGGATTTATTAATAGAGAACTGATACAAAACAGTTTAAAATTTGTTTAGATAAAGACATTTCTCATAATGAATGCCTGAGCATCAACTGTATGTGATCTCTGTTTTGGGAGCATGAATGAATGAGTACAAGGTCCATTATTCATAATGGGCAGAAATAATGATAAAGACCATAACTGTATTTTAAAAAGTCTCATTCCCACAGGTGAATATGTCCCTACATTGCTGTTAAACTCACTGCTGTCTGCTATGGAGTTCAAGCCACGTGTTTTGTCATGCCTTAGGATCCTTTCTCCTTTTAAAGGGGTTGTAGCAAAACCTGAAGGTTCATTGAAATAAAATTGTAAACCATCACAATAAAATAAAGCTTGAAGGCAAAATAATTTTCGTTATCGGACACTGACAGTACTTGCAGGGAGTTCAATATTTTTGCCTGTATTTATTTTGTTAGTTTGTTTCCCATTCAAGCCATGTGCCCTACAGCACATCACTGCCAGGGGCTGTCACGTTATGTTAATTTTGTGAGAGACAGGATATCATGGAGAAAGTAAACCAGGCATGAAAGCTAGAGTGCCAAGATCCCTTTGGTAACTATGGGAATTGTTCTGCTGTGAAAGAAATTTTTGACATGCTTATCTCATGGTAAAAAAACTCACCTTGACTTCTCTAGGACCAAGACTTTCCATGGGGATTAAACTGGTTTTGCCCAAAGATTTTTTCCATGGGGATTAAATAAATATAAAATAAGTGTCATGGCCTGAAGGAGCACCCGTGTAGGTTAATAGACATCACTGTTGGCAGGAAGAAGTCTATATTAATAACTGCAATGGGATTAGTAATGCTTGTGTAATATCATGTGTTCTTCTGCATGTTACAGACAATTTGAAATGGTTATTCCAACAGAAGATTCTGTTATTACAGAAATGACATCAACTTTAAGAGACTGGGGAACGATGTGGAAACAGCTCTATGTGGCAAGTACCCCAAATGATGCTGCTTTGTTTTAATGCCATCTCAAAAGATGTTATTGTTTAGATGCTCTAGTTTACTTTAAGTATCTCTTTCAGGGAGAAAGGCATTTGGTTTGTTTTTTAACTGTTTTAATACCTGAAAATGTTATTTTGAGCTTAGTAGTGTTGTTTGGGTTTTTTCACTTACAAAGTTCATATTTCCCTCTTGTTTTTTTCTGCAGTTGTTTCTTTTTGGCAACATTTTCTTTGCTGCTGCTGTTCTTGCATGTTCAAAATACTCTGGCTTGCTTTCAGAAAGAAAGCCAAGACAAACAATAAATTAATGCCCATTTTAGTGAGGTTATGAAGTGAATGAATATGAAGTAAAAAGAGCAGATTTATCAAATGGCCATTTGTCAGAGCCTTTGGAATATAAAAGTTATTGATGTAAAGTAATGCTCCTTCTAAGTGAATTTTATATTTTCAGAGCAATTTTGCAGCAGTTATAGCTGAACTTTGGTTTTATGCCTTTTCTTCATAGGAAGAAGGAAAAGGGAAATAGGCTTTGGATTTTTGGCAGGAATTAACAGAACAAATCTGAATAGGAGTGGTTTTTCAACTTCATGTGATTCATTACTTAAATGAAGGTTTCAGTGATTTCCTCAAGCTAAAAGTTCTCAGAAAAACTATATCGAGTAAAACTACTTAGAATTGGTGAAGGAAGAGTTAACAGATTCTTCCCAAACAGAAGTTCTTTATGGGAAGTGGTTTATGCCCTTAGCTAGTATATAATTATGAGTAGGAGGATGTGGTTTTAAAGCAATCATATACACATAAGTTCTCCTACTTCACAGTTAGATGAAGAAGAACTGTCTGGACAAGATTCTATATATATGACACCATTTATTTGTGGTTATATGGTAGTGTGTACAGTTATATCAATGCAGGAAAAAATTAAAAACATTAACACACTGTGGTTCAGAGTTTGAATGCTCAGAGCTATTGCCTTTTTATCCCTTTAGGTGGATGAGTTCAAATAGTCTTAAATTACAGATCTTATATTCAATTTAGGTGAAAAAGCAACACAGAATGAATGTGCTCTTAGTAAAACAGTGCTATGGCATGAAGCAATTTTTGTTGAATTTTTGACATATCTATTATGTACATTAGAGTGTGTTAATGTGAGACATATGGTGTTGGAGTGAAATATGGGAAGGAGTGTGGTGCAGAGACAGAGTCTGTGGTAAGCTCCAAAATGATTTTATACACACAGGCACACACGCATGCAGGTAGAAATGGTCACAGTATGATGGGGAAGAAAAAGACTTAAGTAGGGGGAAGAAGGGGTTTTCTTCATTTCCACAGCATATCTGTATTTATTAGGATTTCCAGCTTATAGCAGTGATGTAGAGACAATTATATTTTGATCTGACAGAGGAATGAAGGGGACCTCTTTCACCGGCTGTGGCACATAATGAATGAAATCCTAGACCTGCGAAGGCAGGTCCTTGTTGGCCATCTCACCCATGACCGAATGAAGGATGTCAAGAGACACATTACTGCTCGTCTGGACTGGGGCAATGAGTGAGTAAATATAATAATAAATAAAAACAATGCCACAGCTTTATACTGATTGTAGAATGCTGAAATAAGGAACAAATTTCTAATGAGTGTTACTATATTTTTTATGGGCTTTCTCCATTGCTGTTCTGTCTACTATGTTTTAACAGTGAAAAGTCACTTATTTTATTATTTTATTTTTTTCTTTCACTGTAATTTGCATGGTAGTGGTACTGTCTGCAAGAGAATCACAGTGGAATATCTGCAATGTGCAGCAGCCTTTTGCATCTTCTTAACACACTTGTCCAGGGTGCCTATATGATGCAGTTAGCTTAGCTCTGTTATCTTGAGTATAACTATATAGGCTGACATTGCTTTTTTTTTTTTTGACTTGTCACAAAATTTAGTTCCTACTTGCATATCTCTAGCATACATCTTGCTACTGTGCTCTGCATATTTCTTTTGTCTGAATAACTAATGCAAATGGTATTATCTTTTTTTATCTTTTTCTTTTTTTAAGCAAGAAAATGCTTAAAATGCCTTTTGGCATTTGAGTGCACTCTCCATTCTTTAGTCTATATTTATACAGTTAAACTCTGACTAAATGCAGCAATATTCAGTAGTAGAATTAACTGAATTTCAGGAGGGTTTGCAGTATCTGAAAGCCTAAATACCTGACATAGCTGTGACTAATTGTGTATGATTATCTGTCTGCTTAGAATTTTGTGATAAATGATAGGAATTGTGATGGTTTTTGAAGTGGTCAGTTCTTACTCTTTAAAACATATTTTTAAAAACCTTTATAATCTTTTAAATTTTTCTAAATTCAGCACATCTGTGTCATTTGTGTTCTTAATCTTTATTGCTTGCTGCTGTGCTGAAAATAAATTTTATTCCTGTTGATTCATTATTTTGTTCAGGGAATAAAGACAAGCATCTTTGCCATCCAGTCCAAATTAAAAATAAGCTCATGTTTTGGCATTTGATGGATGTTCTTTTTATCTTCTTTTCCATGGTTGTCATTCAAATTGCGGTACTAGTGCAATTCACATTGTACAATGCTCACAATAGTACAAAGGACAATATCCATTGTACATTGTCCACAATGTGAAACAGATTTAAAAATTGTGGATAAATGTATTCTCTTAATGTTCCAAAGTGAAGAAAAGGAGGAGTCATACATGAATGGTGAATACAGCCAAAATACATTAAAACAAAACCAAAGTCAACTGTAGAGTACCAATTAACATGTACATAGTTTATTGGAATAAAAGATAAAAAGAAGCAGAGTTAATTTGTTTCTTTTGCATGTAGAAACTACTTACTGTTATTCCATTTCTCATACAGACAACTGGGACTTGACTTAGTTCCAAGGAAAGAATATGCTATGGTAGATCCTGAAGAGATCAGCATTACAGAGCTCTACAGGCTGGTATGTGAATGTAATGCTCAGTACTTTTCCTACCAAACTACATCCTGATGGTTTGATGGCAACTCTTGTCTGCTTAACCAGAAGTACCTTTTTTGAGCCAATAAACTGGCATTTCATAATGTAATGACTTTTACTATGAGGAAATAATTTTTTTGAACAGTTGTGCCATCTCTGCATCTGTATGAGATGCTTTGATTCGATATCACATTTGTGTGCACACATGTTTATTTTACATGTTATCTGTTAAAAGTTTTGTTTTCTGTTAAGTCATTAAAATTGTGTCTGTTAACATGAATTTAATCATCAATAAAAAGTTATGAGACTCTTTCATTAGAGCTTTACCTGGCCCATGAGTCCATTTAGAAAAGGATTGTGGAAATATAAACATCTTCTCATGGTACAAGTATTGTCACAATGAATCAGACAGGGCTCTTGTTTTTTTTTTTTAATATATTAATGTAAATATCAGTTAAACTGCATGGGGAAGCTCTCCTTTGGGTATAAAATCACACCTCGATTTACTAAAACCAGCACTGATATTTCTTATTCTGATTAAATCTCCTGTGAGGTCTAAGAAAACTTGCCAGTTCATTTATGTAGGCTTTGACTCCTATTTAAGCACCACAGCTGTTACAGATACACAGTTCTGAGCTTTATGTGCTCAAGACCAAGCTTTTGTTTAGACTAAATTTTATTTATTAGAACTTTTGTATTTAAATATAAAATAAAGCCAAAATATCATTGCTACAATATTTCGTGGAGCTGAAATTAGAATATATTTTTGATAATTTTAAATTACTCGTGCTAATATCTTGTAACATGAAGCCTACTAGTAATTTCTGCATGCTAGAATCAGTGTACATTTGAGTAGCTTTGAAGTCTTATGCAGTAGTACAGAACCAGTTGAAGCACTAGATGAAATACAGTGAGGAACAATTAATCATAAGAAGAGACATACGGAGGAAAAATAACCCTGAAAACTAATAATGGAACTCATGGAGTGCACTTGGAAAATCAAGAGGGGGGGAAAAAAAAGATAACCTCAGTTTGAAGGCTAAGTACCATAGGAAGATTGCAGTTTAAAATAATTTTGGTACAATGTGAGAGAGAAATAGTACAACTTGATGTGGTCCTGCTCTTAATGGGTGATTAAAATGCTAAAGGTATAAACTCTGAAATCAAATCAAGGGAATTTATTAGCTTCTATATAGCAGTTTGCCAAAGATTGTAAAATATGGATGTGTTTATATTTTCCTTTTAAAAATAGTGATATTTAGCCTTCTGCAAAAGCATTTTTTGTGTGTTTGAATACTAGAATAGCAGATCATTAACTATTTAAACCAGCTATGAAATACTATATTGTTACATCACAAAGCTTTAAAATGGCTTAGAATTTTCAGAGTAGAAAAAAGGTAAACTTCTAGAGGTTATTGTTTTTCTCCTAGAGATAATTATGGTACAGTGCAGCACTGGGAAACTCACTTCCCTGCATTGTCCTTCTCAGATACAAAAAAAAAAAAAAGAAAAAGAACAAAACCCTGTTGCAAGTTATTAGTGAACAAAAAATTACATTTGGATTAAGAAAGCAGTTCTGGATTACATTTTTTAGCTGTTTTTGTTTTGAGATTTTTGCGTTTAATTCAAACTGGCTGCTGTGTTGTTTGTGGTATTTTTAGATGGAACATCGTCATCGAAAAAAAGATACCCCAGTACCAGCTAGCAGTCACCATCTTTTTGTTCAAATGAAGAGTTTAATGTGCTCCAATCTGGGAGAGGAACTGGAAGTCATCTTCTCACTCTTTGACAGTAAAGAAAATAAGCCCATCAGGTACCACATGGTTTTTACTTGAATACTGATTTCACATTCCCAGCTTTTTCCCCATTCTTAATTCACTTTTATACTATTTCTTTATGTTTAGGTGGAGCTTGAGCATCTTTAGTCATACAGCTTACTCTGTGAGGGGAGGTTGTACCTCAGGGGCTGATATATCAATTTAATACCTTATATGACCTTGGGAGAGGGACGTGTCAGTCCAAGGAGTGATTTCTCCGTGGTTGCTGATTTAATAACAGGACATTTTCCTTTATCTCCCTTGGTTTTTAGCTGTAATACAGCTTATCAGCTAGAAAGTACCCTCCTCTGCAAGGGTTTTGACAGAGCCTGGCCATGGTGTCTCCACTCTGCTTCACCCTCTGTTTACTCCCCCTTAGATGATGTTGTATGTGGGAGGTCAGATACACTGACTCCATTCTGTCCAGGGAGTAGCAACCATATTTTGCTTTTTACTCCTAGTCATCTTCCCACACCAAGTGTCAATTTTTAATTTTGAAACAAGCAGTCTTGTTTCAGGAGAATTTTTTACTTCCTTCTGAAATTCATTTGTTTTGCTTAATAATTTGTAGTATCATTTTGGGTTTAAAAATATATATTTCTCTGTCATGTTTGCATATTTCAATGTTCAATTGGTTTTGTTTGTGTAGGAACATGTATGCATGTGTAGGAACATGTATGCATATAGAGTGAATGTTAGTACTGCGACCTAAAGGTCATTTTTCAATATCTCTATTTTCCTCTCTCCTAATTAGTATATACTCAAAAAAACCCTTTGAACTACTGCTTGCTGTGTAACATTAATCAGATGAATTCTCCTCAGTAAGCAAGACTGGAAAGCTGCCCTTAGTCAGTGAATTAAGAGTCTTTTTTTCATAAAAGGAGCCTGTACTTCAGTGAGAAGGTGCTGATTCTTCAGTGAAACAGTCAAACCTAATCTTACATTCGCTTTGGGTTTGTTTGGCCAATTTTTTCAGCTGGGAGCTGAACCATTGTTTTTCTGTTTGTCCTAGAGCTTAAGTTCTGTGAGACTCCTGATAACCTTTGAATTTTTAAATATTCAGTAGTTATTTTGACTTGCAGCACAATTCTGGCCAAGAGATAAAACTTGGGAGTGATCAGTAGTGAAACCACTATATACACTGTGCACTATACTTAATAGATATGAGCACAGCAGGAGTGCACAGTTAGTGCAAGAGCCTGCTAAGATCTGTTTGAGGAATACGCCAGGGAGGCTGCACCATTAAAGGTTGTGCAGTGGTCATGTGTGGTGTGGATTGACCCTGGCCTCCAGCCAACCAAAGCTGCTCTGGCACTCCCCTCCTCTCTTGGACTGGGGAGATAAAGCAGAATAAAAGGCTCATGGGTTGAGATGAGGACAGGGAGAGATCACTCACCTATTACCATCACAGGAAAGCAGACCTGACTTGGGGAAAATTAAACTTAAAACACCTTCCTCCCCATCCCCTCCCTTCATCCTGTGCTCAACATCATTCCTAATTATTCTCTCCCTCTTCATTCTGGCCTGCACTTCGGACAGTAGACACCAAAATGCTGTTTACTTTCATTTCTGAGAATTAAATGTGCATCAGGGCACAGCATTTGTGTTCACTCCATTGAATGCCACAGCAGGTGATAGATTTAGGAGAGACCTGCAGACTTTGACAGAAAACAATTTAGGGTGTTATGGATTGCTGAAAACAAGGTTACAGCAGTGGTGGTATGAAAGCAAATGGATTGGATTTCATGTTCACACACAAGCACACATTCTAGAGCTGTTTCTCACATGCTTGTTGTGATCTGACCTTTAGTTATTGATTCCTGACTCCAGTGTCTGTAGCTGCTTACTATGTGTCAACTTCTTCATTGCACTACTGGCAAACCTTGAAAAAGCATGTTGCTACAAAACTGCCTTGTAGGGTGTAGGGGGAATGACAGGATAAGCTCTGTGCAGGTAGTTTGCAACCAGCTGCAAATAAAACAAATACAACCCCACAAGGACAAAAACCCTCCCAAGAAACAAACAGAAACCTCTCAACATGTTGAAAGATCTAAACACAAGAGATTTTACAAGAACAAATTAAATGCAAGGTATATCTGTATCACAGAATGAACTCTGGAATGCAGAAGTGACCAAGCTGGAGATTTATATGCCCTTTCTGGGCCACACCTGGAAGCAACTTAACGAGTTTATCAGAGTTAAACGCAAGCTAGTTGGTCTTGGTGTACAACAGTATAGTACAGTGTATAATTTTTATTCAGTACAAATGGGTGGGGCATTTCAGAAGTCTTTAGCCCTGGCTGATGAATGTGAGAAATGAGCAACCTCCTTTAGAAGGTTGATGTATGAGAGGAGACAGTGTCTGTGCTCCCCAGCTCCTGCAGTTCACACTGTGCAATGATGCTGAAGCCTACAGGCAAAAATGGGGTTGTGGAACCTGGATTTGCAGACTCTTCTGCTCATTTCTAATGAAAGTGCATGTCAAAACCTCTGTGTGGCAACACCTTAAGATCTGTAACAACCTAGCTATGCCATTTGTCAGTTTGTTTCCTGAGTCGTCATTTTGTGGTCCAGTAGAAAAATGCAATGAAAATAATAGATGTTACTAGCACAGATAAACGTGGAAGTATATGAATACACATGACTTAAAATGTATTTCTTTAATTCATTGGTTATGGTATTAGAATTCTGGGGGTTTATTTCTTTGGACTTTGCTCCATGACTTAAGTTCAGTTTTGCAAGCACCATATGTGTACCAAGCTTTCCTTGTGTGGGTAATCCTGCTTGTTTTAATGAGGCCATTTGATTGCATAATGTTACGTACAAGTTCACAGGTATAATTGCTCCAAAACTGTAGCTTTATGTGGATTCTGATTCAGTGTCCATTGTCTGCTTGATACAAATTGACATAAAGCAAGTGATCTCTGTAGTGTCTTAAAGAGCTCAGTTGGAATGAATAAAAATAGAAGAATTGTGATTTAATAATAGAATTTCTGTTCTAATATTTTACTGAAGACTAACTTAGCTTCTTCTCAGGTGGACCTGCAATGTAAGATCTCAATATATCTGCTTCATTTTTTCTAACCTGAGGTTCGTGCAACTGAAGTTAGCAGCTTTAAAAGAAGCAACATTTCCTGATTTTTATTTTTTTTTTATTTATTTAATTTTTTTTTAATTTTATTGATTGGATAACTTTTTGTCACAACCTTTTTTTTTTTTGCTTTTTGTGTTACCAGTTTCATACATTCAGCTGTTTGAACAGAAATATTTATTCATGTATCACAGTTAAACTGAATTGTAATTCTAGATAATGAAGTGGGACAAGTGTCTATAAAAAGGAATAGTAGTTCCACTCCAGACTAGTGCAGGAAAAAGCAGTGTCTGGGTAGGATACTCTGATCCAAAATGATTCAGATGTTCAAATTCACAGCTCACCTGGCTTCGTGGTACTACCCTGCAAGGAACCCCAGTATATTGCTGGAGAGTTTATACAGACTGTTCTTAAAATTTTGAGTATTTATACGTTGCTGACGAGAGGATGTAGTTTTTTGCTAACATGCATAAAAGAACTAGATTCTGGGATAATAACTTGGCAAATTTGCAGTTATTGATTCTTCTGGTGTCGAATGCTTTTAAAGGGTTTGATTTTTCTCTTCTTTTATTTTGAAAATATCTGTTATTAATAACGTGGATAGCATGTTACCATGTGTGCACTTTGGAAAAAGAAGGGAAAAAAAGAAGGTACTTCATAACATAGGGAATGTATGGTTTGATAGCTGAGCTTTGTATTGAAGTACAAGAGTAAAGTTGTCCTTAGGCCAACAAGGACATAAATTTCATAAATTTCCCAACATGTACTAAGAATTAGATAATAATATATTTTCTGGTGAAATGTGAAAAACTATGATGCAGACTTTTGTTGCTGGAAATTACTATTGAAAATAACTGTTTCTAAATATGTTGACATCCACAATAACATCAGTTCTGTTGTATTAAGGTAGAGGTAATAATAAAATACTATTTAAAATACGAATAAAATATTATTGTTCAGATGGTTTCTGTACTGATATGATTTTCTAATGTGTGTCTTCGCACTTTAAAAGGCTTTTTTTGAACATGAATGTTCTACTTCTATGGAAGCAAGAAAAATGTCAGTATTTAAGTTAAGTATTTCAATCCGAGTGATGCTTATGCATTTGATGCTTTAAGACTACAGTTGCAAGTCATTCATTTCCTACTTAATTGGTGTATGCTAATTTCACTTGATATGTATACATATGTATATATCCATATTTTCCAACTAAATTAGCTGCTAGGAATAATTTTTGCTATCACTTAAATTAACCATAAGCAGCTGAAGTCAGCCCCTGATGATTCCTAGAGTTTTCCCTGGTGTGTTCTTGTATCTTGTTCCATTTGCCTTCCCATCTTTCTGCTTTGCAGTTTCTTTCTATAGAACAGTACAGCCCCTGAGTTTGGGTAAAGCAAGTTGTGAATGGCACTGCTTTAACATGGTACAGCCTTTAACATGGCTTGTCCCAGTAAAATTCTTTGGTTTATGCACTGTTAGATCTTCTAACCTTACATTTCTCTTTCTCTCTTATTTCTCTTAAGGTCAAAAGCCCTGTTTGTGTATTCTTTGGGTATTTGTTCTTTAAGAAAGTAAAAAGCTATCTGGATGACACTTTAATTTTTAGAACTAATTACACTATTGAAATCTTAAGGGAAACATTTTAGCATACATAGTTACAGAGTGATGTTGTAACTGTAGTTTGGAAATAAAAGAGGTCCATGATCACATCTCTTGAGTCCTGTTTTCAGTTTCAGTCCTGTTTTACTGGCCACTGCTGAGCTTTTCCTGGCTACTTAGAGTTGTACAACATAGTCTGTTCCTGAACTATATGAGTTCAAACACAGCTTATTTGTATCTAATAAGTGTCCAGATGGTAGTTAGAGTTGTTAAGAAATGCTTCTATAAAATCTGTTCCTGGAATCT